CCTGACAAGTGCTGTGGGGGTGGAAATGCAGCCTGTGTCTGCTCTGTGACAGCTTAATATCGGGGCTGGGGCTGCGGCGGGTGGCCCACCCCTGCCACCTGTAATAGGGGTCTGTGTGGGACATGAAATTATGCCTGCCTCCAGCTGCTGTCCTGCCAAAGGGCCAAGACTTCTGATTAGGAAAGTATGCCTTTTAGCTCAGGTGACAGCAGGCTGTGGTTTTCATGCTGCTGATGGTATTTCTGTCCCTAACGGTGCACATATATATGCAAAAGCATGATAACATTTCACCTGTCATTTCTTCAGCTTGCTTAGCTTTTTCTCTGTCATTCTAATGACAGAAGTGTTGATCTTGGAGTACCACAAAGTGCAGAGTGCTCTTGCAGAGATACAGAATTGCTGAGAAATACAGTGAAGACACATAGGGAGCAAATCAGGAGGGCAAATCAATACTCATCCTGAGTATGCTCTACCTCTGCTAGTGTTTCACATCCTTCCTCTCATGTTTGCTGTGGCTTTTGGTTGACTGGTTGGGGAATGCACATACTAACCTATGTGCTGCTGCTAAAGACAAACTGCCCCACCGGATTTAAGGTAATAGTTCACAGTAAAATATGAGTCCAACAGGGTAAGTGGAGAAAGTGAGAAAGAAAGAGGAAATAGATAGAATTGGGACAAGACCTCTCATCTAAAATAATCAGCATATTTGGTCGTAACTCTGAAAGGCAGATTGTAAGTCAAGTTTTCAACCAGCCTACAAAAGTAGCTCCAAATTTTATGCATCAAGAGACTGATTTGAAGGAAGTTGAAGACAATACCAGATCTACTACTGACTTGTGTGACTTTGGATCCAGTTCCCAAAATTTTATGTGTGTGCAATATATAAAAAATTAACAGGATGAGCAGATCATGGTGCTCTAGAGCTTCTCAAAACTTTGTCCTCTTGAAACAACTCTCCTTTAGAAGATACCCAACAAGATGTTTCTTCAATACAGAAATAACTGTAATCTCCAAAATGAGTGTAATTGGCCCAGAGGACCTGCGACCTTTGTGTGCTGTTAGTCATCATCATTGATTTGGGGTAACTGTGTTGGGAAAATCAGTAATGACTGATCTTCCAGAGGGAGAGGAAAAGTAAAAAACAGGGATATGGAAAGAGGAGAGAGGGTATCAATTATCCAGGAGAGCCAGCAGGAGCTGCTCAGTGGTCTCTGTGCCCGATGAGCTATTTATTTCATACACCTTTACATGCCTGACTGCTGCTGAATGCCACAGCTGCTCTTGGTGGTTGCCACATGGCACATTTAAAGGTGAGCTAAGCTATCAGCTGTGACTGAAACTCCTTTATCTCACACCTGTGCTCACCTGGAGGGTGGCGAGTAGCAAGGCCATCAGTTTGTGACTGCTTTGGGTCTGCAGTGGCACAAGCTTGCTGTTCCTCAGCCTAGGGGCAGAAAGGACTTTTGCTCTGTTCCATTGTGTTTCCTCAGCTGTTCAATCTGGGCACTGAGCTGGGAAGTTGCTGTTGCCATGAAGGGCCCTTTAAAGACTGATAAGGCCTTGGCAATGGTTGCTTTTGTGAACATTGGTGGCTGCTGTACAAGGCGTTGGGAATCCCAGCCATGGTTCTTGGGGGTTAGTGGTGTCACTGCCTGGTGTGTGTTACTAGACCCTCCTTTGGTTTTGTCAACGCAACCTTTTAATTATCTTGGTGCTGAGTACTGGTTGGCATGTGCCTTGGCTTTCTTTGTGTGGGAGCTAGATTTGGTCTCAGTAATGGGTACGCACTGTCAGTACCTCTGTTAGCCTGAACAGTCTCTGGGCTGTCTGTAGGAGACAAATGGCTTGTTTCCATCCAGGATCGGTGGACGTGGAGAACGGCAATGCTTTGTTTTACAGTGGGTTTGAATCTCCTGCTTGATAGTGTTCTGCTCTGTAGAATATCAGGACTTGTTAGTCTGCTTTAGGGAATGGGGATGTTTAGAAACTGATCCTGTTGTGGCTGTTTTACCCTCTGAGTTGGTCAGTTATTGCTCGCGGTGTATGGGCCTCCCTGCAGTACAAAGAGGAGTTTGGCGGCAGAAAGCAGGTCAGCGGAGCAAAGCGAAGGAATCCCTGTAACAAGGGCTGATGTGTCTTTCCTACATTAACTGGGGTACTGCTGGTCAAGATGCTGTGGCCCAAGCTTTTGTGTGGGATGACACACGAGTACAACCCCACCGAAGAACAATGCTCATCCCTTGCAGTTGTCTGCCTTGCTGTAATGTGCCATACAGGCTGGATTAAAGTAGCAGGGATGTGGTAGCATGGTCCATGCAGGTCTTCTCTCCTGGGGGTTTCTGCTGCAGGTCTGGCGTGGAGATGGTTTGGTGTGCTGGGCCATGCTGCTGGGAGGGGGACAGGGGATGCCTTGGGGCTATGCCTTGCTGAGGGGTGCCCAGGGTGCAATGCAGATGCAGGCAGCTTGTTTGCCTTCTGTCCAGACATCTGTCCTGCCCTGTCGTCCGCTGCTGGTGCAATGGCGTTGAGGGACACAACTCCAGCCACTTGCTTAGTGCACAGCCCAGGGGTGGCAACAGTCCTGTCCTTCACACGACCCACTGTTATTTTGGTCAGAGGTGCCCCAAGTCCCCTGGGCGAAGGTGGAAGAGGCAGTTTGGCTGGTGATAGGCTGGGCTCTGAGGAAGGCAGGCGGTAGTGGTGACACCGTGTCCCCAGTGCGCAGGGGAAGACAAGGAGCAGCCTCTACCAGACATAAAGCCCTGGGTCTCAATTCCCTTCCTGGGCTCTGAACGCATGGCAGGAAGGAGTACAGCCTCCTACTGATCTTAATTAAAACCACAGATAACGTGCTCTTTAACAAGGAGTGAAACTACTGTAGTGAAAAATTAAAGGATTATGATCAGTGACTTGTGTATATATGCAAGCATTGGACCAAGACAACCATGCTTAATTTTGCAATCTTAGATTAACTTCTGTGAATTAATGGGATTAATTTTTTCTTTCTGTCTGCTTCAGAATGACCATCCAGTCAAAATACAGAAAAGTTCTCCTGAAATAGCAAAAATAAGAGAGAGAATATTTTCTTGTTACTCTAAGTTTAAAAAGTGATTCTTTTTATTTCTTAAATGCAGACTTGGCAATAAAAGAATGAGGAATTGCACTAGAATATGTATGAATAGAGGTAAAACTCTAGCAGGTAGACTTGATTTTAGTGGTCAGATTTTCCTATTTAGAAACTCTCAAGCTGGAGGTGTTAGCCTGATTTTTTATTTATTGGAGAAATAAGCTTGTTGAGACTTATCCCAGCACTCTAGCAGCTTCACAGGCTGTTCCTTGTATAAAAGACTGAGATATTATTTCTAGTGGCATCACAGAAATGGAAGTCATTTGTGTGGAACTTTTTATTCCCCTGAAAAGGTCATTGTAGAAAGCTTTGGAGAGAGACACCTTTTTATTGTAAAATCCACTGGAAGGTCACTCTGCTTGTTGAAGGTAGTTCAGGCACACACATGTGATTTCATATTTTGCTTCTTAGTGCACCTTTAAAGTTAATAACCAGAAGCTGAGTCACTTCAAATTACATACAAAACAACAGTTTACAAAGGAATAGGAATTCTGTTCTTCCTCTTCCCAGAAGTTAAGTTTTGTTTCTTAATTGACAAAACTTGTGTCTTTTATAAAACATAGTTGCAAGGAAACAGTGCCTTATGCCTCACCTCATAGAAATGTGTCGCATTTACAGTCATGTGGTGTATGAAATGAGTATGGGAGACATAGTGCTTTAGAAGATTTGAGTACCCCAATGACATGGGATCTTGCACCAGATAGAAATGAGGGTCAGAATTTGTCATGCAGGAAATTAATCCACGGAAATGTCAGAGAGCTGATCTATATGCTAATGCATTTTAAGAATGCAGTGCAAGCAACTGGAAGAAGGTGAAATATGGGGGGCAGTGGGAGGAGTGGAGTGGTGCAGCAGGGCATTTCCAACACTGCTTATTGCATCTAGGAACCATATTAGCTGTGACTTTAGTTTCTACTGATAGAAATTCTCCCACCTGGGAGAAAAGAAAAAGAATTATCAAACAGACATCTTAAAAATTTGTGACACATGGGAAGACATCATGGTGTATTACACAGCATCTTTCATTTGAAAGAATCTTGATGTATGTTAGAAATCTGATTTGTAGTAAAACTGTAATAAAATAGTAACAGAGGCTGTGCAGAGCAGTGCCATGGAACAGAGCCTGCAACCTGATTTCCTAAAATCAAGAGCAGAGTGATGCTTAGGTGGTGTGTATCAACATAGCACAAAGTAGCCTGTCTTCTTACAACAGGTTACTAGGTGCCACTGTGGTGCTGAGGAAGGCTGCAAAACAAAGGAAGGAGAGAGAGAAGAAACAGAGGGAAAAATTAATGAAGAGGAGCCACAGACTAGGAAATAGTGCGGTGAGGAGGAAATAAAAGTGATTAAGAAGGAAAAAAGTTGAAACAAATCATTCTTCCTTAGGTCTTTGAGCAGGGGATCATATCATTTGCTAATACATGTTTTCTTCCCACATCTACTTACAGTAGCAACACTAAGAGTTTACCTTTAAGGGCTGATTCAGTGCTCATAGAAATTAGCAGGATTCTTTCCTGTCACACTTACCAAGCAGTGATCAGCAGTGGAGTTACTTGGGTGGGGACACATTAAACTATGAGGTATTTTGTAAATTGTTCTCCAGGGCTGATAGACATGACATGAGATCATTTCCAGTTTACATTCATTTGAATGTAGCAAATGGTTAGTTTAGCCCGAGTGGGAAGGAGTAATTTCATCATATAATATCATCTATGTGCAATGACCTACATGAGATTAATGAAAAAGTAAAAATCCTCTGGCAGTGGCAGAGGGGAAGGGAATAATGTTGGTAATATTATGTATATAGCGTAAAATAGAGAATGTTAAAGAATAATTTTACAACTGATGAACCTGGAATTTATCCAAACTCAGATAATTTTTAAAAATTTTATTCTTTTTGGCCCCAAAACAGATAGCAATTACAAAGGGAATATGTGTCATATGGGACTCTTACAAAATACAACTTGTAATACATTGGCTAGTCCAATAAAAGATACCACATTATTTACTGTGTCCACTTAAACAATAAAGCAATTTAAAATCTTCATACAAATCATTTGAGTGTGTGAAAGATGAACATAAACCAGCCTGTCTGTTACTGATATTTGCAATGGTTAAATAATATGCAGGCACAAGGACAATCTCCACACTTGTGGTAGAAGCCTGAACTTCCCCTCCACACAGCAATGCACTTCACTTTTTGATAACTGGGGTTGAAAACAAAAGAGTGAAAATAGAGTGGTTAGAAAAGATTCTTTTATTCTTTTAGCGTCTTGTCCCAAATAAAGACATCTTTTTTTGTTCCCTCCTGCTACATATAAAGGACAGAGTCTGCTGATAATACAGGGAAATAAGAAGTGACAGCTATGGAAAACTGGACAGCTCAGGTACATAGCAGAGAAGTCTGAATGCTGACAGCCTTTTACATAAATTTGATGAAACACAGCCTTTGTTTTAAAACCTTTCGGAAAGTTCAATCCCATCATCTATCTCCATTCAGGAAGATCAGCAAAATTGATCTCATATGCTGCAAACAGCTTAGTACGTCATTGTGGTGGGGAACCCCCAGCTCCAAAGGGGTATGGATGAGCCAGATCTCAGTGGCTCAGGACATATGCAGCCCTTGATGTGTTTTTGCTGTGTATAGGATGTGCTATGCACTTCAGGAATATAGCTCACCTTGGGAGATGATGTGATCTATGTGGGAAAGACGGAGAAAAAGAACAGACGATACGTGCACAATAATTCCTCCACTGCCCATGTTGACTGTTTTTCTTTCAGGAGTCACATCAGAATTGGGTTTGAGAATGAGGAACACATCAGCTACAAGGAACGGGAGGGGTGTTTTACTGCATGGAGGTGGTAAAGACACAGAAGAGAGCTGAGGTTGGCACAGACAGAGGAGCAGGAGCTGAGTGCAACCGGATTTAGCCATGCAGGTACAGGTCCCTAAAATGTTAATGAGGGTTAATTTTAATGTAGTAGAAAGGGAACAACAAAAATAGGGTACAGAGAGTGACAAGATAAAAATAGGTGAACTGGCATTTGAAGAGTGATTCTTTCAGGAAGGCTCACTGGTTGTTGCGTGCAGTCTTCAGGGCTAGGCATGTATGAACTCACGCCAAAGCACCGTCTGCTTCCCCAGAGTGAAAAAATTTTGGATATGGGCTGGACACATGTAAGACAGAGTAAAACCTGACAGACTTGGACACCCACAGTCATGGGAACCCTGATAACAGCGCTGAAATGAGGGGAGAGAACAGGGGCTCATTCCAGTAGGACCACGATAAGTTTAGGGATTGGAGAGTCAGAAACCCAAAGGCAGGATGGTGAGTTGTGGGTGTAAAGATAGAAGGGAATAGCACTCAGAGAAAATACATAGAAGTGATGAGAAGGGTTGAATAGACAGGTCTGTACGAACCCTGCTGTAGAGAAGGGAGGAAAAACTTTTGAGAAATATTGGAAGAAATGTAGGTAAACAACTATGCAAGGGGAGCATTAGGGAAAATAAGACTCTGAGGATGAAAGATATTTTGGAGAAGCTAAGGAAGATGGATGTAAGCTGAAGGTCTTGGATACATCATAAAGAGCTTGCTAGAAAGAGTTTGCATTGCAGAGCATGGTGTGGCTGGGCCTGATCCAGGGTAGGTATGAATGGGGAGTTGCCATGGACAAGAAGTCAAAGTTCAGGAAATGTTTCCAAAGCCTTTGTAAAATCAGGAAATACTCAACACAGAAAAAATAAAAATAAGTTGGCAAACAATGGTGCCAGACTAGCAAAAGCTTTTATTTCCATGAGATGACAGATAATTTCTGATAAAGTTAAATTGCTTTAATTAACCAATCCTTTAAATTGTTCCTGACTTTGAGCATGGCGAAAATGTACAGGACAACTTCATCAGTCTAGTGGCATTTGTTGGAAAACATAGTTCTGTGTTTAGCTAATGACTTAATTAGAAAAGCAGTAGTCAGCTGGCAGTGAATGGTGAATCTTTATTTAACAAGTAAGAAGAAAAATTAGCTATCCATCTGTTTTTTCCTGTTAATTACCTCTAAATATTAAAATTGAATAGAATCTTCAACCCGATTGGTAGTTTGAGTAGTAATAGTGGAAATCATATACTAAAAGAAAGATATTAGTAGAAATCAAGATGATGCAGCTTCTGTATTTTACAGCTTTCATACCTGCCTCTGAAACATTTCTGCCTACCTACAACAGCTGTTGTGGAGATCCTGTTCACCATTTCTGGTCCTTCAGCCATACTTCTGGCTTTAAATGAACATCAGTGTAGGTGACAGAGTTAACTGAGACGTTGCTTTTTCACGAGAAAGGTGACTGCACACCCATGCCAGCAGCAGTGTCTAGCTGTGGGCTTGGTCCCAATTTGAGGGTTGTTGTTAGTGGGGATTGGACTAGTTAGCCTCCAGAGATCCCTTCCAAGCTAAATTATTCTGCATGCCAATATGCCCTTAGGAGCAGCGGTCAGAGCTGGCAGCCTATCTCATTTTGTTGGTTTTCCCCACTCAAACACCTTTCACTAGCACTGTCACTCCCATCTCTTCCTTTCACCTAGCAAAGACCCCCGAGCAGCTCACCCCATGGCTGAACCCGAGCCCTAGAGACAGCTCCAAAGCAGCTGGCTGGGGCACGGCATCTGCCTCATCTAAGCCGAGTGCCTCAGGGTGACTCAAACTGTCTGCTGGGGCAGACTTGCACATTTACTTTTCCCTTTCTGATCACTACAGTAGCTTGGGACCCTTGTGCCCAAACTGCTCAAGGAACACCCAAACCTGCTGTCTTCTAGCAACAACTGCCTGTGCGTCCTGTCTTCCCTGCAGTAGTCACCTTGTTTGGGGAAATCATGCACAATCCTTGTTCTTTATTAATCATTTCTATTGAGCTTGCTGAAGGAAAAAACTAAAATTATTCTGCAGCAGTTCTTACAAATACTACTCTTTATTTTAATTCCCAGCTATTTTTTTTTCTAATAGCATATGTACCCTGAGGAGCTGCTTTGGAAGTTTTATAGATAGGCAGGGTCAGGCCAGATTTAATCAACAGTTTCCACCTCCAACAAGCTGCAAAAAGGAAAAACTATAATGGATCTCTGGGCTTCCCCACTAGAAGACATTTTCAGTGACTGAGATTATTTTTTCCCTCTGTTTAGATATTAATGTTAGCTAGTAGGGAACCTAAAGGCAGCTGGAGGAGGCAGCTGTGACAATTGCTTCAGAAGGGCAGCTGGAGATAAACCTCCTAAACTCAGGCATGGAAAACTTGGAGTCCTTAAAGCAGAATCCCACTGCATGCGGGTAAGTGGTAGGTCACACTTTTGTCACCTTCAGACTTGATTTACACTCAACTTGCAGCACTGTATCTTTCCAGCTGAACGCTTTCTCTCAGAAATAAGGATGTAATTTCTCAGTTCCATCTGGAGTTTATTACTCGCATGTTACTTACACTTCCTTGACTCTTGATAAGAAAAATGATTGTCATCTTGTAAATTTTCAAAACATTTTTCAGAGATTGCTTCCAGTGCTGTTACAACATTTTTGCTACCTATAATATTTGTTTTGATGGATTAGGAGCTGCCATGCTATAGTTTACTGTTATTGCATGCCAGGTTGATGTATGTGGTATTTTCTATATGGTATATCAGTATAATTCAAAAAGAATTTGCCCACAAAAAATGGACAGGGAAGAAAATTATGGTGCAAGGTAAGTAATCAATATTTAAATGGTGCTTAGGAGTTGCCAATGGACAATACCAGATTCTCAACTTTGATTTTGCCCCTTCCCAGCCTGATTTTCACATTTTAACTTTCATAAGCACAGAAGACAAGACACAGAGGACTCTCTACCTGCCTCTCAAGACAGGGGAAGTAACTCCATGAAGGACTGCTAGAACAAGAAATCGTGTTAGAGGACCCGATCATAGGTTAAGCTGACAAGAATGACACTGCCAATTGTAAGATGACGATAAGGCAGACATGCAGGCTGTTATTTTTAAAAAAATATTTTCCCTGGTTTTTTTCTTTTTATGCTGTTCAAACAGAAACCAGTTTGGTTTTAGATGATGTTTCTGAATTTCTGTATATTGTTGGCCTGCTGAGAAGGTATCCATTTGTTTATGTCTACAGGGTAAGATCGATTGATCCATGGGGTTGTGCACCGCAAGGTCCAAGTGAAGTGTGGCACAAGTGAATAATGCCACCCCAGAACTGATCAAGGCACGAGGCCTGAGCCCTGAAGAAATATGGTTAGTGGTATTAAAAATGTGACCAGTCAGATGTGCAGCTAGTCTTGCAAGTGTGACTCTTGTTAACTGTGTCCTCTCAATTGCCAGATAAACTGCACAGGTGTCTGCCCAATACTTTGGAATCTTACCCAAAACCAGCCACTCTGTAGTACAAAATGGGATCCATTTTTAGATGGAATGAATTGGAATGTTTGGGGAGTGTATTCCTGAAGAAAGGAATGGTTTATTCTGCCTTAGCCCAAGCTGGAAATGGTGGTTATTTTCCTTATAAATGGCTGTTACAATTTTCTCAGAATGGCACAGGAAAGATTTGCTGTTTAGCTGTCATGACCATGAAGTGTTTATTAATTTTTGAATATGTATTTATGGGGTTTGGTTTATAAGACTTTATATTATTACAGTGCATGATAATTTAGACTTTTGATTCTTAAATGAAAAAAGTATAAAAGTGAGTATCATCGTACGGTTCTTGAATTGTTGATTACACAAAACGTCTTAAATGTGAGTATCTAATAGTTTCTTTTTTTGTTGTTTAATTGCTAAAAAATCTGTTCCTTTGTAGAATAAATTTATTTCAAAGTCTTTACCATGAATAATACCAGAGGTAAAAAATGGCAGAACAAATTACAGGCTAAAGATAAGTCAAGCACATAGGCAAACACAAAAATTCCCTTTATCAAGGGAAATGGTGACAGAGTCAAATTATTTTGCTCATTCTTAAGGCCAAGAGTCACGTCATCATCATCATCATCATCATCATCTCCCAGTATTTTTAAGTATGTTCTCGACACCTGATGAGCTTTCTAAAGGCCAGCTTGAAATCTTCGTTAAAGCTAGTGTACAGCAAAGGGTTGATAAGGGAGTTGACATATCCGAGCCAGGTCAAGAAGTCCGCTACTTCTGGAGAGACAGTGCAAACGTGGAGGCCCACAAGCAACTCCTTGATGAAAAAGGGCAACCAGGACAAAATGAAAGCACCTAAAATCAGCCCCAGAATGCGAGCAGCTTTTCGTTCCCGCGTGGTGGAGATCTGCTGCCGGTCACCAGCCAGGTCCAGGTCATTCTCAAAAGGAGGGATCCTCACAGACACATTGATTTTATCAAACTCCGTGGTTGGGTCGGACGTGGAGAAGTCCGAGACACAGAATGTTTGTGTGAGCTTGCAGCTGGCAAAGGAGTTTTGGCTGTCAGTGCTCCGGTTGCTGAGGTGGCGACTCGAACCCCGCTTTTGATAAAGGCTCTTTGCAGCATGGTAAATTCTGTAGTACAGGATCAGGATTAAAGTCAAGGGAATGTAAAATGCTCCAAATGTGGAATAAATAGTGTAGATGACATGATCGTGCTGAATGCGACACTCACTGGCAATATTGACGCTGTGGTGATTTCTCCAAAACAAAGGGGGCATCGATATGAAAATGGAGATAGTCCACACAGTGACTATCATCAGCCCAGCCCTTTTCGCCGTTCTTTTCCTGGCATATTCAATAGCGTCTGTGATTGCCCAGTACCTGTCCAGAGCGATGACACACAGATGAAGGATTGAACATGTGCAACAGGTCATGTCGACACTAAGCCAGATCTCACAGATGAAGTATCCCAAAGTCCATTTATCTATCATTATGTAAGTGATGCTCAAGGGCATGACGAGAACAGCAACAAGGAGATCTGTCACAGCTAGTGAACATATTAAATAATTTGCTGGCTGGTGGAGCTTCTTGGTTGTGGAGATTGCCGCAATTACAGCAGAATTCAGCAGCATAGTCAGGGTTGTGATTGTGGCCAAGGTCAGGGTAACGAGCATCTTTTCAGTTACTGTTTTTGGCTTTGCAGCCACGTTGGCTTCAGTGGTGCAATTTGTGAAATTCATTTTCCCCTCCAGGACGCACAATGAAAGAAGTTGCTGTTTCAGGTAACAAAGAGTTCCAGGTTCAGAAGTCACCCATTTGAAAGCGGGATAGAGATGCTCCAGATGCAATTATTATTTTATAATCCCATATTCAACAGAGCAGCAAAAAGCTTCCAGGTTTCCTCCTGTTCATTGTTTTCCTAGAAGATAAAAACACATCTGTTAGTGAACCTAGAAAAAAAATCCACTTTTTGGCTAAAAGTCCTATGCTTCTAGTATTACCAGCTCAAATAAAAATTTTAGTCTGTTTTTTCTTCTCTTCTCCTCTCCTCTCCTGACTTTTCTCACCCTTTTCTCTGCATTCAAAGTTTGTTTCTTTTTCTTCTCCAAAGGGCACTTTGGGCAAGATTTCCTGCTGATGTGAGCTAGTTATTTCTCCTTTGGTTTTAGAGATCTCACTTAAAGTAGGAGGTTGGACTATGGGACCTCTAGTGATCCCTTCCAACAACCATTTCTACGATCTCTGTGAATTACTGATACTAGGAGCTAGTCCTTTTCCTGCTTGTTAAATAGGCTCCAGCAGATGAAGAGCTGAGGAAATTTGCCTTTTCATTTTAATTGCTATACCAGAGGGATCAATTACTTCCATATCATCTTTGGAAAAAAGAAACAGAGTAGCCTATCTCAGCAAAGGCATGCTAGCATTTCATCGTTTTCTATTCTGCTTTTCCATATCCATGTCTGTATTAATATCGTGGAGAGAGTACTTGAAAATTACTGAGGTTACCTTTAACACACAGCTTTCAAACAATGTTTAAAGCTTTATGGCAAACGCTTAATTTTACACAGCACATCAGTGTTGCTAGGAGCTTATATAGTTTTGTCTAATTATTCCTGACATTTCACATATCCCACTGTGCGTGTCTTTAGAGGAGACAGACAAAAAGCTTTTGCCTTTGCTCTGAGATTTCTATCAAACTGTGCTCCCTGTCAGGCACTCCAGAATGATGCAAGGTACAAACAATAATTAAAAAAAAAAAAAAAAAAAGGTTTAATTTTGTTTCAGGTGTTTGTATGTCTTTTCTGTACATCCCAAACGCTGACTGAAGCCAGTTTGCAGTCTGTGTGATGCAACTTGGGATACCCTCTGGGGCCTTGCTTACTCATTTGTAATTTATCTTGGCAAAAGGATGTAGAAAACCGAAAGCCTGAATCCTTTTCCGTTAAAATAAACAAAAAGATTCCTTCCGCTGGCTTTGCTTATTGAAGAGTAAGGAGTCTTCTAGGATACTTGTACAGGCTCCCTCACCAGGCGGGGGGAATGAGATAGCAGCTGCCAGAAATACACTTGTCCCCTCTCAAGACAAGTCCTCAAGGCAGATGGTGTGAATCACATCCTGGAAATGCGGCTCTTTCTCTATTTTGACTACAAGTGGCTCCTCCACAGTTGCATTTAGAATACATGCCTGATTTTTAGATGGCTAAATTTGAGAGGTAAAACCCATTCTTACTGACACCAGTGGGACTTACACTAGGCTCTGAGAGAGAGTTTGCACATGCAAGCTAATAAGGAATTAAAAATTTGAATGAAGAATTACGAATTTAAAGCTAGTCAGCTGCTTAGCTCTGTGTACATATGCTCTTATTCAGAAATAGGAGTGCTGTCTTCTGAATGAGCTGAATGAGGAACAATCAAAAATAGAAACTTTAGAAAAAAACCTGGCCTTTGTGGATAGGCCCTGGGAAAGCAGATCTGTATCATCATAGACTCAGGGTTAGCACAATGTTTTAAATTCTACCCAAGGCACAACAGAAGCCCCCACCCCTAAGTAGACTTCCCTCTTCAGAAACTGCTTTAAAGTATGAACAGCCTTGGAGAAAATATGAGGTCCGTCTATTAAGAATAGACTGAACAAGCCAGATGAAAATTCATCCATCCATCTTCAGGTTGTTACTGCATTGGAAATGATGATTTGGCCATTTAGGCCTAAAGCCAAAACTTCAGCTCAAACCTTTTTCACAAATTGTTCATGCGAGTCTTCTCTGTCAAGCCAGATCTTGATTTCATTAGTTTGCACCCTTATTATGTCTGATACTTTGACCAGTGGATAAAGCAAAGAGGCATTCTCTACCTCTGCACTCCTGGAGCATGGACCAGAAGCAATTGCAATCCATGTGCTTTCCTCAGTATCATCACTTAGCAAATGCCCCCTGGTCCCCAAGAACACTCAAAGGTACTGGAAGACACAATGGGATTCACATGGCCTCCACAATTGCCTATTGATCTGGTCCATGGACAGGAGAGCTCTTTCTGCTTCTTGATGTTAGGGGACACTTTTTCTCCTTGTCCTTCACTTCTCTGGGATCCCTGAAGTTTCATGGACCTGGAATTTCTTCCCATCCTGCGTGGTCCCCATATTCTCTTCTGAGCGCTGTCTTTAGGCATCTTTAATTCACTAGGAACTGAATTGCTGAGGTTCTCTCCCTAGATGGCCTTTCACATGGATGTAGCCTCAGGGAAATCCTTTCTGAGTTCCACCTGCTCTCTGCATCACAAGGATACTCTGAAAAATAAATTATTCCTTTTCTTAATGAACTTGTCCTTAAACAAACCCCATCACACTTTATCAGACCCAAGCACCAGGTTTCCATTAGGACAAGAGACTGCTGATCACACAGGGGAGTTTAGTTGTTTAAGTCTGCTCACTGCTCAGCAGGGCCAACGTTTTTTTCCTTGGAGAACCACTGCAATGATTGAAGATGGGGAAAAATATAAACAAAGCATCATCCCTGAAGAACACCAGCTTGCAGGTACCTCAGACCAGGCAAGCCCATCGTTTCATGTCAAAACCCATCACTGGGGAGCTAATTTGGTTTTAATTCCTGTGCTCCTTATAGGAAATGAGCCCTTAGCAATTCAAACAATATAAATACTATATACGAGAACTGTGTTAAACCAACGTTATTAAGGAAGTATATTTAAATGCTGAAAAGTCTGGAGATGTCAGGCTGAAGGCTTCCTCTGAGCCTTAAGTCTGTGCCTCTTGTCATCCTTCACCCACATTATGAGGATACACACTGGCTTTACAACATCAATTAGTAACGTTGACTTGTAGGCATTGTATTTCCTTTCTCCTGCTGTTTCCCCTTGCTGCTCCCCATTCCAAGCCATCCTTGTTTCCATACGATCTCATCCTAACTCCTGCCTCCCAGAGCAGATGCGGTCCCTCAGCCCTTGCTGTTCACCTCCCAGCTCACCTCCGGAGCCGGAGCATCCCCAGGCTCCCCTGGCCTGATGCTGCCACCTCAGCCACTACCACCAGCAGCTTGGCCAGGGCTCGTGTCCAGCCTCCCACAGTGCCTGTGCCCCAGCTGCCCTCACCTGTCCAGATTTTGTCTCTCTGCTTTTGAATTAGAAAGCACCTCTATAAAATCTTTTGACCTGAAAAAGAGATGGGGTTTTAAAATGGGAAATTATTTACTAGAAGATGTCAGTGATTGACCTGGTTTATTAATGCAGGGCAGGGCTTAAATGCTACTTGTTAATCTTTAAAAATGCAGGTGTGGTTGTGGTCATATATTTAGTAGTTCTTGTGTTTTAATTGTTTACTGCCTGTCTTTGGTGGCACCTGGCAGCCCCTGAGCAGAGTCAGGGACCATCTAGCCCAGAACAGGGCAAAAGAACCCAGGCTGTGATTCAGGAAGGCAAAGCCTGCTAGGGTAATCCCAGTGTAAGGGTTCCTGTCGCTTAGTTTAGGATTAGCCTGGGGAGCTGATGCGGCTTCATATTCTTCGTGTCCATTTTCTGGTCTGGCCAGGGCACCTCCGTGATTTGCTTCTCAGCTGAGGCTGCATGAAAGACAAGTCTGGTGTGACTGGGACAGGTACCAGTCCTGGGGCACCAGGGAAACGGCACAAGGACTCTGAGATTTGGTCTCATGAAAATGCAGTATTGGAAAATTTACAGTCTGATTGTTAGGTCATTTATGACAAACAGATGTAGAGTGACTAGCTTCAGAGGATTCAGTGAAAAAAACATGTTAACAAGGAGAGTTTTACTATCTCTAGTCAGTGATAGCTGGTTTTCAGTATCTGTATTGCTTGCATACTATTGTTATATATAGTATTACTATCACTGTAGTAATTGATTGTGGTTTTATAAGTGACTTCTTGGAAGGGACATTAGTAACAGCTATCTTAAAGTACTCTCACTAAAAGCACTGCCGTGCTTATGTTTTCCAGCTGTAGCCCTTTAGGCTGTCAGTCATTTCATACAGAGTGAATTTTACACACACAGACTAATTTTATTGATTTGGTGGGAGATACTCATCTGGGTTCCTCAAAATGGGAATCAATCATGTTTCGTATTAACTGATTATTGGTAATGGCATTGAGTGCTGTCTGGGAGCAGGAAAGGGGGAAGAGGATGATTAAATGTTCCTTAAAAGCAACTGGACAGCTTTAAGCTGTGAGATGGCAATGTCCATGTCTGCTCCTGCCAGATGATATCTCCACCTTCTCAGCAGAGGACCACTGTGTAGCAGAATAATCTGAATTTATGGTGAACACACTGACTCCCTCTCCTTGGCCACTGAACTTTTCACCATTTCATAGGAAATGGAATAACATCACTTGGAGAGAACAAGAGGAACTAGCATTGCACATGTGTATGTGCAGGGCAGGTTAGTTTTTTTACATCCACGGTTTTACATTTCCTCTAAGCAGTTATGGTACCGTGCAAATGATATATCTTTGTGCCCTTGACAGCAGTAAATCAATTTGACTTTGTTAAACCCTGAATTGGGTCGAGTGCTTTTCACTTTCAATATTTCTATGATCATAGCTGTGAAGGGCAGGAATCTGTGGCATGCTTTTTGAGATAGGTGGTTAGCTTATGGAAAATATGACTTAGCACATTTATGATAATGTTAATATTTCAAACTATGGAGAGATGCTAAACTTCCAACACTCTTCCTTGCTACCTCAAAGAGGTTGTCTCTTCCAAGTTCATATACAAAGCACTAAAATTCAAGCCTTTCACTTAAAATTTATTTTGTCAGATCTTGCAACTTTCTAGATCATCCTGCTCTTGTAAAGTCAGCCAGTGTTGGACTTCACAGCTCCTTGGTAGCCAACTGATAGAGCTGAGTTAAACAGAATATGATATAATTTAAATAAAACTGAAGTTTCCAAATACTTTGTGTTGTATTCAGGCATGCTGGTGTTGCTTTGGGCTTCCAAGGATCTCGGTGCTGCAGAGGTCATGTTATGGCAGCAGTCGTAACTGACTGCAATTTATATAGGCGCGGATGCTGTTTGTAACATGTCACATTGGGAAAAGTGCTACCCAGAAGTTGAGAAAGTAGAGATGGTCAGAATCACACCAATCTGTGGCAGAACTGTCAGCAAAATAAAGTCTTGCTGTCACCAGGCAGCTCATATTCACAGTCACAGCATGAGATTTGATGCCAGCTATGTTATAGGCAAAATGAAGGTAAACTATCAGAAGGTGGGTCGAGGTTGCCTTACAACAGTGTAAAGTGGGGGAAGGACAATAAATAAAATGGCTACTTTTATGTGAGAACTGAAATCTTGTAAGAACCTGTCTTTGAGAAATTTCCAGCTGCATTATGGGTCCTCAGATTTAGGGATGTGACCTTTTTCTACACAGACTGAATGAGGTCAAGAATGAAATTACTATGAAGTTTGTATGAACTAAGCTATGAATTTTGACTTTCAAGTTAGATTTTCCCTGTGCACACTGGTGAACTGAGCAGCACGATGGAAAGACAGGTCGGAGGAACTCAGCACTAAGCAAGGTGTGCGGAGGCACAGCTGTTGGTGTATTTGTATCTGTGGGCATCTGACTAACACTCATACATGTACTCACCCTGACATAAACAACCAGAGCACAGTATGTTGTAATAAAGGGTATAATGGCCTGCAGCCTGCTTTCCAATGTGTTTGTGTAAAGAAGATTGCTGGGGCTGCAGGGAGCCCCTGGCTCCCTCCTGGCCAGAGGATGGGCTAAGGAAGCAACATGGGGGACAACACTGCTGGGCACGACGTGAGAACTTGCTGGACGTGACAGACACCAACACAGCACTTGACAAGTCACAGATGGTGCCCCAAGGGATGTCTGGGTTTTGCAGGTGGTTGAGATGGAGTTATGTGAGAAATGGCTTCACAGAGAAGTGAAGAGGGATGTTTGGGACCCTTTTGGGAGCGCAGCCTTGCAAGACCCATAACACCTTGGTCACCACATCAGTAATTGCATGTAAGGCTGAGCTTGCCTATGTAACAGAAATGCCAGATTTGGGTATGGATGTTGCAAAATGGGGACTGATAGGGAGGAATTAATTCGGGCAGGGTTGTCTGTCTGGGAGGAGACTGGAATGGAGAAAGGGAAGGTCAAGGCTGGTGAAAAGGAGGGATGAGAAGTGGGAGAAGGGATAACAAGGATAAAAGGAGGTATGCATTGCTCACCTACAGCTGAAATCAAGAGAATAACCCAACCTGTTGTTCAGAACAAAGCACAAGTCAAACCTGACACCATGGTCAGGAGGCCCGGGGAGGATGGGTCCTTTTGCCCATACTGTCTGACTTGGGGACCCAGGAGATGGAGGGATGCAGCATTCTGGTGTCACCACGTTGGTACCTGCACCAGACCTGATGGCGCTGGTAGCTACCCATCACCTCCTCGGGGCGATGAGGGGTGACTGTGTCCTCTCACCTGTGCAAGAGCAAAAATAAATGCTCATGCAGGACAGTTTTGTGCACATGCGCTTCTTCTAGTGGCTCTGAATAACATCCATTGGAACCTAAATGCTGTCTACATGGTTTCCAAAACAGCAAGCTGTGAAGTGGACCTTTAGCACCGTTATTTCTGTCCCTGGATCTGCTGTTTTGTTGCTCTCCAGCTCTTTTGCTGAAGAGCTTAGGATGACCACCAGCATGACCATGATGCTTTAACTCTCTCAACATTACAGAGTGCATCTCCCCGTGCTTGTCAGGGTGGCTTAACCTCCATTCCCAGTGGACACTACCAACCTGGAGGATTCCCTTCCCAGTTAGGAGTCCAAGAGAAAACCGGTGGGAGAGGGAAGGTGCCTCCCAAATAGCCATGGTTCTGTCAGCAGCCCATCAATATCTTCACTCTGGAGGGGCAAGAGAGGCTCTGGCTTAGGGTGAGGTCAGGACGAAGACTCATCTCCCTCAGTACATCACAGCTCCCAGCCTTCTGCCCTCAAAATGAGGGAAATTTGGTTTTCCATTGCTGAAATTCCTGGCATCACTCTTAACAAAAGTTATACAATGATGTAGTTTGCTACAGGTATGCAGCTTCCTACAGACTCTTCCCATCCACTTCATACGTGCTTCTGTCATGCTGGCAATGCTCAAGATCATTATATTTGAAAACAGTTATACTATAACCTGTAATTCCAGTTATAAGAAACTGCATACTGTTAGTTGAATACTTTAGGCTGGGCTCATTGATATAATTTCAACTGGTAAGGCACCTTCTTAAGCCATATTTATGTACACCCATTTTAAACTCATTTAAGAATCTCCAGGATGAGTTTTGCCATGGTCTAACGAGCTCATTTGAAAATGCACCTTTTTGCCTAACCACTGCAAACCTGGGCCTGAATCAATCTGACCTGGAATCAGTGAAAGACTGCAAGCTGGCAGTTTTGCAAAGCTATTTTTACAGAAGTCCTTCCAGGATCACACTTCAGAGGTAAGCTTTTCTGGTGTAGATCTTGGCACATGCAAATGAGAAACAATAATTAGTGACAATCTTCGAACCATGCTTACTCCCACAAGCAGTGGTATAATTATCTTTCACAGATGATTACTCATTTTTATCTACTTTCAATAAAAAAATTAGTAAATCTTAGGCAGTGAAAGCTCATAAGATGCTGCTGAGCTACAATCTGATACAAACTAGGATTCAGTGCAGATTTCACCCTGTCTTTAGCTAGACATAAATAAATTTCTCTCTGACGGTAAAATACACAGATTTTTTGTAAACAACTAGACTAGGCATCTACTCTAGTTGTAATAATTTGTAATAAATAATACTCTATAATAATTTGCTTTAAAGAGACTACTGAATTAAAAACTCATCACTTCTCATAACACTTTAGACTGTTAGCACTGTACATTTAAAAATTGTTTTATACTACATAAAATACTCATTTAAGGTTTAGCTCATTCTTTGTAGTTCACTTCACTTTCCCCTTTTCATGCCCTACCTTAAATCCCGAGATGTTTAACCTATGAACACCGGTGGCTGTATTTTACCATACTGTGGAGCCAAGAGACATGGGTGGCTGGGTCTTGCAACTTCTGTGGAGGCAGAATTTATAGTGCTGCCTTTCCCACCAAGTTGTGGCAGGAAGACCTTCTCCCCGTGCCTCCTCCTTCTCCAGAGATGAGTTATGGAGATAGAAACCTTCTTCTGCTGTAAATCTGTGACTGACAGTGTGGAAAAGAAAAATATGTCCATTTGTTTTGCAGACTGTGTTTGTAGAAGTGCTGAAGTGAGCTAGACTGGGAACCAGAAACATGCTACATTAGCATGGAGTGCTGAGTGGGTTGATCCACACAGCCAAGAAATAGGGTAAATTTTCAGCCATGGAGTTACCGGTCCCTACAGGTGGACAGTCCTGTTATGTGAGTTAACCTGATTAAAGCTAGCTGACATGCTCTTCCCTGATACGTGGGACATCTATTTTAACAGAGGCAGGCAAGCTTGTTTGATTGCCCCCCAGCACCATGTGACTGCTCCAGAGATGTGCTCATCAGTGGATCTTGTCTTGGTGCAAGAAAGGGGTCTTGATCCTTGGTGATTTCCTAAATTAGTAGATAGCCAGACCCAGGAGACATGTAACCTACACACTTAACCTTTCATCTGGGAAGAAAAATACTGTCTGCACAGGTTGCTGACCCTTGCAAACTTCATGCTTAACAGTTACTCTCACATGGAGAGGTTCTTCTCTGAGTAATTTTATGTTTTTTATAAAACTTGTGGTAATACTGTCTTACTCAAACTTCATATTTCTAAATGTTTTTCATCACCAAAGAAGACCTTTTCTCTGCATTTTCTGTTTTACCTGTCTTTGTACATGCATCTTTACAAGATGCCATGTTACCAATATTCCCTTTCCTGTGTTTTTAACTAAATTTTAAAGGTTTTACATTTTTAAACCTATTTTAAGTCCATGGCCCCAATACCTGATATAGATTTTTAAAGATGACAAACACAAAATCTGCTTCAGGAAAACATATAAACTTAAAAGATCTGGTGATGGACCCAAATCTCTTGCTGTGGAACAGGCAGCTGTCCCCAGGGAAGACATCTGTCCCAGGTTTTGTGCTGCTGCAGTACCCACTGCTGTTTATGGCTTGGCTGTTTTGCTCTGCACTTCCCTTTCATTTTACTGAATGGTTCAGCAGGCACACACACAGGCACAAAACAAAAGAGTGCGGATGCTGAGTATTGGCGGATCCGTGGGGCCCTCCATAATCCTTCCTCCTACTGCTCAAACTTCCATTCAGACTATTTATTCATTGACTGTATGACTAAGACCTGCAATCAGATAAAATACAGGTAGGAGGACAGCTTGGTTAATGAGATTCCGTATCAGACATTGGCAGCTAAGCTCTGCGGTCGCTCCGTGTAATTCACAAAGGGGGAGGGCAGAGGAGAGTGTCATTTCTAGCACTTACAGCCCTCCTTAGAAGAAGAACGCTTGGGATGATGTTTGACTAAAAGGTGGCCCAGGAACAGATAGTCACGAAGCTGGTTAGTAAAATTTAACTGTAAAGTGAAGTCCCCCAATATTTGCTCTCTGGGTGGCGTGTAAATGGTCCTGAGCAGGTGAGTCCATCCCCAGCACAGGGCTTGCCTGCAGCCACATCACTCGGTCAGCCAGGCAGCAGCTAAGATGCAGATCCATTCATAAAAAGTTCCAGCAACAGTCTACCAAAGCAAAATAAACCACAGTCATATTTGCCTTCCAAAAAAAAAAAAAAAAAAAAAAAAAAGCTGGTAATTCTAACTTGTAGAGGCCATGCTGCCATGACATTGGAAGACTGGTGCTGAAGAGATCCACATTTCTTAGCTGGGAATAGCATAGACAGCATCTTGGTGTTTGAAGGAAATAAAGAATGAATAGAGAATGACACAACAAGGTGCTGGAGGACTTGGGAGGAGAGGAGTTTGATCTATTATCTTCTGAAATAAATTCTCTTGCTTTAAAAAAATAGGTCTAGGGACAAAATGTTTCAGTGTCCTCTTAATTACTAACAGTTTAATATCTCCAAGCAAGAAATATTTGTTTCCCCTTTTGAATGGGGTTACAAAAAGAAAATCCAGTATTCAAAACTCATTTTGATTAATGTTTACTCTTTTATTTGAAATTCTTGACTTCCCCACAGGTTACAGTTATGTGGAGCATGGAAGAACTATTCATATTGCTTCAGAAATGGTAACTTTTAAACTAATATGAGCTATTCTGAAGATTAGTATCCTTTGAACTAGTATAATGTTTTGTTTTGTAACTAGAAAAAAAACTGCCTCATTGTGACTCTCCTCCCATGGTCCTTTTGGAACAGAAATCATGCAGAATTTGTAAAATTGTTGTAAACAAAGATTATTTTGCTGGAGAAAAATCTTATGTGGGAAACTATTTTTTTAAAAATCCTTCACTAGAAAGCAAGCTGTTTCATTTGCCAACTCTTAAAGCACCTCACTGGAACATCTTAAAAATTCCCCTGAAGAATATGAGGATTGTGTCTAATGTAACTAGAAAAAGTTGCTGAAGGAACAGTCGGATTTTCTCCCCAGCTGGCAATCCTTCTTTTATTCTCTTTGCGCTGAAGATCCTGACACAATTTGCAAGCCTAACACTTCACGTACTGCTCACAGGCCCTGCAGGAGGCACAGTCCAATTCCTCGCTTATTAACGACTTGTGGGGGGAACTGCGAGTGGGAGACCATGTAGAGACAAGAGGATTGACTTGTCCTGATGCCCAAATGCTGAGCTGGCACTAGAAATTCAGCAGCGCTGCGACCTGCCGATGAACTGGGTTTCTCTCTAGGCACATGCCTGAAATCCTACTTTATCTTCATTGGTTTATGGCCTAAAGGGAACCTAAATATGTTTCTAAGAGTGCACCTCGTAGGGAAGACTCGTTCCCTATGGTGAACAGTTATTGCCCAGCCACCTTTCCCGTGTCACCTGTGGTTTTAAAGACCTCTGTTGTCATCAGTCGGTCCCTCAATCTTCTTTCCTACCTGAAGAGTCTGAGCCTGTGCGCTCATTCTTCATACTGATGAACTGCTGTTGTTCGTCATACAGAGGAAAAAGCCCATTATACAGGTGTTACATTATTAAAGATGCTTAGGTCACTTAACTCCCACCAGAAAGAAACCTTGGTTCATGAAATCCTGAACACTCTCATAAAGACAGCGAAACATTAACTCCTGGGTGCACAAATCCTTTCTGAATATGCGTATGAGGCTCCTAAATTAATTAGCTACTTTAGGTTTTCTTTCTGAGGAGTGTTTTCAGGCTTGGAGCCCTGCAGTGTAGCACAGCAGGAATGGCAGGGTAAGGAAACTATTGGCGAGACCTTATTACGCTGTGGTCTGTTACAGTTTTGTTGCTTTGCCTTTAAACCACTAACTAGAAGAGGAAGCATCTGTTTTTCAAGGTCTCCCAAATGCACTGAGAAAAACTGTAAGAAAAATCTGCGCTGAATTCTCACCTGAAAATGCATTCTCTGTCTCAATTTCTCATCTTGCTGCTTAGAGACATGTCAAAGACACACAAATATCTACCAGTGAATATCATTTATTCAGCTCTGAGGAAATGGTGCTATTTGTATTTATATGGAGACTATCACTTTATACAAGCTAAATGTCACTGTACCTGCATTGTTTTTCAAGTCAATATTTGTTTCTGGCTGCCACGCTTGTCAGAAGACTGGTGTCAATGGGGTTTATTTAATCTCCATGTGACTTGGTTCTGTACAGAACTGCTCTGCAATTCATAGAGGTCCCAAATGAACAAATTTGACAGACTAAAACTTAATAGTGTATTAAGGGCCTTGAAGCTTGATCCAAGACCCTTTGAAAGCAATGGAA